TTGAGGACATCTGATTAGCAACTTTAATTCCATCTGCAACTTTAATTTCCCTTTGCATTTAACATAATATATTCACATTTGGGAAGGAGGTAGGCACATTACTCTGCCTACCACATATATTATCTGCAAGGTTTCTAAATAGAAATTTTAAAGTAAAAATATTAGTTTCCACACTCAAAAAATTCTACTGTTTACATTTAGAGAGAAAAATTAGTAAATTCTTGGGATTACTGGAAAAGCCTTATAATAAACTAGAGGCCTGATGCATGAAATTTGTGCAAGGGGCTCAGCCCTCACAGCCCCAGCTTCATCTGCAAGGTTGTCTGGAAGGACGCTCAGAAGGTTGTTCAGCTGTCCAGTCTAATTAGTATATTATGTTTTTATTATTATTGATTACCATTCTAGTGAGTATGAAGTGGTATCTCATTGTGGTTTTGATATGCATTTTCCTAGTAATTAAAATGTTTTTCTTAGTTTTGTGAGCTGCTGTAGCAAACTAGTAGGACCTGAGTAGGAGGTCATGGGAACCTGTGATCCAATAGCCCAGTGGTCAAAAACACTGATAACAACCTGGACTTGCAATCGAATCTGAAGTTAAGAGTATAGGGGGTGGGAGACAGCCCCGTCTTAAAGTCTATTTTGTCTGATATTAGTATGGCCATTCCAGCTCTCTTTTGGTTACTGTTTGCATAGTATATCTGTTTCCATTCTTTTATATTCAACCTGAGCCTCTGAATCTAAAGGGAAGGAGAAAGTAAGAAATCTGGGCTGGAAACCCTTTCTGTGTCTTGGCCCGAAAAGCTGTCTGGAGTAATGTTACCCGTGCATAGTGCTTCTCCAGGCACCAATTATGGCCACATGAGAGGGGTCCCTTTCTGATTCCCAGGGTATAGATTTTCAGAGTGATCATAGCAACTGTGTATGAACTTCTCAGCTTCCAAAGTGAATTCAAATATATCAGTGATTCTCCAAGTGTGGTCTGGGGAGCCGTAAGTGTTCCTGAAACCCTTTCGGGGGTCCTCAAGGACAGAACTATTTTCATAACAATACCAAGATGGTATTTGCCCTTTTTAGCTCTCATTTTCCCAGGCAAGTACAGGTTGGATGCAGAAGCCGAGATGAGAATTTACTGTCTCTATTACTGTAAAACAACGCCACTCTTCTCTCTAAGTCGTTTTTGAGAACACAGTGATATTTCAAAAAATAGATTGTTTGTACTAACATATAATGGTTTCCTATTGTTCATTTTAAATGAGTTAAATATTTTTTTAACTTCTCAGTTTTAATTTATAATATGGTAATATTGATAAATATTGCGCATTTAAACAAAAGCTTATTTAGGATCTCGATAAAATTTAAGAGTATAAAGGGGTCCTGAAACCAAAAGTTTTGAGAACTGCTGACATATTATCTCACTCAACCCTCACAACCTGTGGAAAGCAGGACAGGTTCAGTCACTCGCTGCTGTGGCCCCTTGGATACGGAAACTGAGGCTAGATGCCTGGGACTGTACCTGGAAGGACTGGGTTGGACGGGAAGGCAGTCAATGATTCTGAGGCCAGAGCCAACCCAGTTCATTGGAGTGACTGGAAAGACACTTCCCGGGAGCTACCACCTCTGGTGGCTGTTGACCCATTGGCCTCTCCCAAGTTCTAGATATTCTCTCCACCTTGGCCTCCATGATACCCTGTTTCTAGTTCTGCAAGTGGCTCCTCTTCTTCTCTCTTCCCCTTCAGTATTGCTGTGACCCAGCATCCTCTCCCCAGGCCTCTTCGGCCTCACTCTGTGGTTTCCCTGGCTATGCTCGTCCACAATTACATATGATGGCTCCCAGATGTGCCTCTCCAGCTCAGATATCGCTCTTGAACGTGAAAGCTAAGTCCTGGATGTTTCTACCTAAGGACTTCCGATGTTTTAAACCTACATGCTCAAAACTGTGTCATCACTAGGCACTCAGCACAGTGTACCAGTCACAGGTAATGTGCCGTGAACAAGACATCGTCCCTGTCCTCAAGGAAACAACCGTCTAGTGGAGATCGGTCCCAAACCAACTTCCATGTGTTGGGGCCTGGTTATTGTTATCACCATCAGCCCAATTACCCAACACTCCTCCTCCTTCCCCGTCTACTGCATCCAGGGAGTCACCAAGTCCTATGCATTCTGTTTTTTCATTTCTCTCCATCACCGCTGCAACACCCTCAGATCACAGTTCCTCATTCCTCCTGCGGACTCTTGCAGTAAACCCCTAGCCACTCTCCTGGCCTCCTGTCTCATCCCCATCTAATTCATGCCTCATGCTGCTGCCTGAGTGACCATTTCCTAACCTCAAGTCTGCTTTCCTTACTACCAGTCGTTACTCCCTCTTCTCTGTAAAATAAATCCAGACTCCTTAGCCTGCCTCATGGTCTTATTCGGGAGTTGACCTTTGCTTCATTTCCTGTCACTCTCCTGAATGTATCCAAGACATTTCAAAGGCTGTTTTTGACAGTAAGAATGCCCTCCCTGATCACCTGGTCATTATTCATGACCCTCCCCAAGGGTCTTTTTCTCTGTAAAATTCTTATGACCTCCAAGAAGTCTGGATTAGTTCCCTTCGATCTTGCACAGGTCTCTTTTCATTGTGGTACTTATCACACTGTATTATTATTTATTTCCATAGTGATCTCCTCCCTAGATAGAACACCTTTATGGCAGGAATTGTCTTTTATTCACTTCGGTATCACCAGTCCTTGCCCAGCGTCTGGCATAGAGTAGGGGCTCAGTAAATACTTAGTGACTTCGGGTTGAAGATCTGTAAAATATGGATCCTTTAACCTTCTTCTCATTTTTTCAATTTACAATTTCCATCCCATTTTCCACTCAATCACTCAAGCCAAAACCATGGGTAACTCCGTTAACCGATGGCACGCTCGTCCTTAGCCAATGAGTCACCAAGTCCAACTCATTCTCTTTCTGTCGCCGCTCTCCGATGTCAGCTGCCCTCCATCACCACCTTCGGAGAAGGCCTCTGTTCCTCATGAACTCGGCAGCCGCATTTCCAACCTCAAAAATTGGAACATGGAGTTTTTTGTGTCCCCTCCAGATATAAGGGATTCTGGGAAACAGATATCTTTTCTAAAAGGTTGGAATTCTTTGAATGTTTCCGTAATTGCCAGGGACCACAGTAGAGAATATTTGAAATCAAAAAGCCACTAAGAATTCAGGTTGAGTGGTCATCTGACCTTGACAATAAAGTTCTTGGCCTCTGTTTTAAGAGTCTCAGGATTTAAGCTCTTTATCATCTGCGTGACAACAGACAAAGTCACAGGCAGGAGTAACTAGGTTGGAATTCTTTGAGTGTTTCCGTAATTGCCAGGGACCACAGTAGAGAATATTTGAAATCAAAAAGCCACTAAGAATTCAGGTTGAGTGGTCATCTGACCTTGACAATAAAGTTCTTGGCCTCTGTTTTAAGAGTCTCAGGATTTAAGCTCTTTATCATCTGCGTGACAACAGACAAAGTCACAGGCAGGAGTAACTCAGAATGCAATATTATAATACCTAATACATGAGGAAGCAATTAAGAAGAGAGATACAGAGGAGGGATGACCTGAACTGAGCTTTCAGGGCATTGTAGCAGAGAGCTGCCCTGTGGAAACACCCCAACTCCAGTCCTCACTGATGGAACTGGACCCTTGCCCACCAGCCAAGGTTGACTGGCCAGACAAACCTGGTCCAAGGGCATCCTCCTGGGCAGTCAGAGATCTAGGACTTGGACCAGCATGAAAAGATGAGGCTTGGCAATCAGATTCCCTCCTGGAATCTCAAATTGGAAAACCAAAATGGTAGCTCTGGGAGCACAGGCAGGTGCTGAAAGACGTGCCTTGAGGCAAAGGTGGGCCTGGAGAGTCTAGGACAAGCCAAAGCCTTTGTGAGCCCAAGACACAAGGACACAGAAAGCATGTCAGCAGAGGAGCCCACACTCAGTATAAGTGACAGGGGGGTAAGAAAAAGCGAGACCATGCGGCTGAGTCCTGAGCCCACGCTGGAACTTGATGTCTTGCCAGCTCCGGTCCAAATCCATGTGCAGCCTTACAGCCACTCCTCAACCTTCTTTTCCTGGTGGTTGAATGCCGTTCCTTGCAACCTGAAAGCTAAACTGAAACAGAGTCAACCAGGCGGAGCAGATGGAGGGAGAATTTGAGGAGCCCAGCGTAGCACAGATCGCAGTAGAAAGATCAAATTTCTCATGGACAACTCAGGGGAAGGTAGAAAGGGATTTTATTTTATTTTTTTTTAAGTAGGAGGTAAATGAAGGGATGCCTTAATTGTTTCAATAAGCCAAATCGGTATTGGGGCGTGAGCGAGTGAATGAATGAAGGTAGGTGAAGGCCAGAACGTACTCAACTTTGAATGACAGGATCCAGACGGAGACTTGACCCCATAGGCGACAGGAAACCACAGCAGGTTTGGAAAAGGAGGGAGACACCCTCCATATGGGATTCGAAAAGCCATGACGGGCTTGGAGGACGCCCGCTTCCCAGCGCTGAAGCCTGCCGGTCCCAGTCCCCCAGCGACGGCCTGCGCACGTATGGGGAGCATCTGGCTGAGAGAACGTGAGAGCCGCCTGTGGTTGGAAGCAGAACTACCCGTTAGGATGGTCGGAGGGAGGAGGCTCCACTCAGACCGCCCAGAAGCTAGAAAGGACAGCCAAACGCTCCGAGGTCAGTGAATGTCACCTCCATGTGCAACCCCAGGCGTGATCCGCTCAAGTGGGGCCCCTATAACGGCGGGGCCCCCTGTGCACGTCCATGGAGAACCCAGCTGTCAGCCAGTTCCCTCCTCCCAGCCAGGCACTGGCAGCAGCTGTCTGCTTCCCACCATGTCAGCATGGGCCCAGCTCTCAGCAGCTCTTTAAATGTCCCCAAATCCACTCACGTGACATTAGAATGAACAGGGGAGAACCTCCAGACAGTTGCGGGAGGGGGTTTGCATTGCGTAATCCCCAGCAAACAATGTTAAAAAGACACCAGACTGTCTGCTGCGGAAAGCCCTCCTCGGCCTGCCTGACAGCCACCGGGGGTTTCTTTCTCATCCCAGCCCCTTGTCTAGCCCCCTGCGTCCTCCTCCTCTCCTCCCAGATTCCTCCTGCTCCGTTTTGCAAAGTCATTCCGCTCTGCCCTCAAATGTGTCTACCCAAACCCCAAACACAGCTTAGGTGAATAAGCCGGGCCCCCACCCTCCCGGAGATAGCCATGGGGCTATAAATAAAGCATTGTGTTGTTGCAACAAAGCCCTCAGCATACAGATTAGCATCTCCCAACCCGGGCACCAGCTGCATTTCCTTGGCCCCATCACTTTGCTCCCTGGGCTGCTGTTTCTCATTCTTTGACATGAGAGGCACAGGTGGGTCAGTCGCGGTGAATCCCTCGACCACTCAGCTCCCTGTGACTTAAGAGTCAAGTGGAAGGACAGCTGGGGGCAGAGAAGCCAGTTATGTAAACCCAGGCCTTGGGGTGGTAAGGGAGATAGGGATGGGAGGGGGTTTAGAGGGAGGGAGGAGAGGGACTAGGGGGACCCCGATGGCCGGGAGGAGGAGGAGGAGGAGGAGGAGGAGGAGTGTGTGTGATCTGTCTATTTGATCTTCTTTGCAGTACTTAAACAT